ACATGCAATAATTTAATATAAACGTAATAACAGAACACACTTTAGCAGAGAGGAGAGACATATGCACATTTGTTGGGGATGAAAACCTGAAATGCTCAGCAAATGTCTATTACTGTTAAGGTACGTTCACTATAAATGTGTATATAATATATATATATACACATTTATATATATATATATATATATATATATATATATATATATATATATATATATATATATATATATATATATATATATATATATATATATATATACACACAGTTGCTAAGAGTTATTAAAGATTAGAAAATGAATAAATAATTGAGGATGATGGAGGAAGAAATTAAAACCAAATTATGCCCAGATATAATAAGGATCACAATACAAGGGGGAAGCTACAGCACTAGAGCAGGAGGAAGTAGAGGCAATTTGATATAAGTTATGAAAGAGTTGAGTCAAGAAAAGCACTGAAAGGCAACGAGGTAAATCTCGGTTTGTGGCAGGATAAAGTCAGGATATTTCTAATTGCGGGTTTGTCCAGAATAACTTGAGTTGGAATGTACTTATAGTGGGAGTTTATAATGGGGGTATATGTATTTGGGTTGGGTATATATATATATATATATATATATATATATATATATATATATATATATATATATATATATATATATATATATATATATATATATATATATATATATATATATATATATATATATATATATATATATATATATATATATATATATGGGTACAGTATAGCCAGATATATATAAAGAAAGTGTTCATACCCAATACATATTAAGATATTGAAAGTGAAGATTCGTCAGTCCGTCATGGACTATTATCAAGCCATGTGTGTGTAGGATGTAGAAGGGTTGTGACATGTAGGATAACATTCGTAATGGGGTTTATGAAACTGAGTTGCAGGGAAGGGTAGATGACCGTGGGGTTCAGGTGCTGACGTATGGGCTGGGGTTTTCCTCTGCTACGATATTCTCTTTAACTTTTTTCAGGTCTGGACCTCAGTGTAGATAATGAGGCAAAGTCGATGAGACCCACGACTCACTTATCATTTACCTCACTTCTATCCGTGTGTAAATATATATAAATATACCCCCCCCCCCCATCTTACCATATATGCTTAACACCATGTTTCATTTAAAGGTGTTCCAGGGAGGAACGGAGCGTTTTAGAATACTAACCCTTCAATAATCCAATGTTATAATAAATCAAAGTTAATAATAATATTAATTCTTCGGTAAAGAAAGCAGAGTTTCTTTACCTGATGATTATTGCTTATTAATACATCTTCAGAAGGAATTCATTCTGAAGATGTATTAATATACGAAAGTACTTAAGGAAATTCCTGTTTCAATTCATCCTCCGTGGTCGGACACTCTCATATTATATATATATATATATATATATATATATATATATATATATATATATATATATATATATATATATATATATATATATATATATATATGCGTGTGTTTGCGTGTGTATTTGTGTGTGTGTGTGTGTGTGTGTGTGTGTGTGTGTGTGTAAAGTACAGTTCTTACAAATTCCCCAATATTCAGGAATAGAACCAATGTTTGTCGCTGGTAAGCCAAGATTACAGGAATATTTAATATACTACAAGTGAGTTCATTCATACAAACTCAATTTGACATCTGTATGTGATTTGTCCAACAACAACATCCCAGAGCTGGATATTGCAACATAGTTGCCGTCTTTGGCATGCAATAAGCCTTTAATACATCTCATAACATTGTTTTTTGAGTCTAGTCGTACTGAATGTCAACACGTCTTACCTCCGTTACTACCTCGTTATTTCGTTTACAGTCATATTGCCTTGGGGTCTTAACTGAAGCTTCATTATCTGCACATTTGTTATCAGTAAGCTGGACAGTGTTTTGTTAATAAACATTTCAGTGCTTGATGTGGGAATGGCCTGATATATATATATATATATATATATATATATATATATATATATATATATATATATATATATATATATATATATATATATACTACAAAAATCATAGTTGTTAGACTATGTCGTTAGTCATTAGACAACGGTGACTGGGATGTGTATTAGTAATAGGCTTCTGAAGATTACTTTGAGGAAAGATTGTAGTTTGAGAGATTGTAGCACAGAGCTGAGTAACGCCGTGAGAATATATATCTACAAGTCATTTCAATTTATCATATATTCCAGTTAGCTGGGTTTACCACAGGGGGGAGATTTATGCCTGCTACAATATGTCAAGGAATTCACATAAAACTGTATTTGTTGACGCAAATGTACACACATACACACACACACACACACACACACACACACACACACACACACACACACACACACACACACACACACACACACACACAAAGGCGGGATCCAAGAGTCAATGCTCGATCCTGCAAGCACATATAGGTGAGTACACACACACATATGCACACACACACACACACCACACATACACACACATGTAGATATGATAGAGCCCAGTAGGCTCAGGAATCTGTACACCAGTTGATTGACAGTTGAGAGGCGGAACCAAAGAGCTAGAGCTCAACCCCCGCAAGCACAAATAGGTGAGTACATACACACACAGCTGGAATTAAACTTCCGAGGATGCACAGGATGGCGAAGAGAAACCTTACAATGGGACTCATGGTTTAAATCATTGTAGATGGTAGATGAAGATGTAGAGAGAAAAAATGTATAGATCCGTCACGAGTGGAGAATTACGCTGTAGCAAATCAACAGATAGAAGTTAGAATAAAAAAAAAGACTGAAAAAAAAGATCTTAAGGTTACGAGGGAACTCTGTATGAGGCAGAAAGAGGAAATAAGCAGGAGTATGATAGCTAACAAGAACAACAACCAAGGAGGTATACAGCTACGACCGGTAACCTGTGTTTACAATATGAAAGTTGCTGAGGCTTCACACTTCAATCCCTCCCCCAACACCCTTCTCCATTCCTCCCAACACCCATTTACCATTCCACATATCTTCTCCTCCTCACTCCATAACTATTATTTCTGTACCTCACTAATTCCTAATCCACAGCATATATCCAAAGCCTACAAGCCCTTCCCTCCCTCCCTCCCAATCTCCTGTTATCCAATTAGCCACTGTTAACTCACTGCTCTGCAGTCCAATGCTCTCTTCCTCCAACCAAACTGCCAACCTTTTCCATACCTTCTACACCTGAACTAACCCAGTATCTCATTCCCAAGCTGCCCATACAAAGACCAGAGTATCAATAATAAAAATGTGGTACAGAAATGCTGATGGAATATCAAACAAAGTGGATAACCTAAAACATAGGAATGGTGCAACAAACCCCCTAATAATAGCAACAGTTCAATCTAAATTAACTGAAATTTTCAATAACGCAATATTCCCATAAATATAGATAAAAAATAGAGAAAGAGAGTAGAGAAGGGGAGGGCGAGTATCACTGCTGTCAAAAAAGATAGCTGCTTTGAAGAGATCCCTGTAGATGAATATACCAATAATGCACATTATGTCACAAGAATAATTTCAGTGGAAGGAAAAAAAGTAACTTTGGCTGTAATTTACAATCTATCAAAGAATCACAGAAGATCCAGACAAGAATGTGAGAATGCAAATTGCGCTTCCATAAATGCAAAGTGTGGCTGAATTATCTCATAGGTTGAGAACAAACCTTCTAGTAATGAGAAAATTACAATCAAGGGCAGACCCACTTGGAATCATTGTATTTGAGAGGGAGGAGATGAAACATGGAGAGCACAACCAATAGAAGATGCAGAAAGAAACTTCTTAACACAACATGTTATGGAGGAAACACGAAAACAAGGCATAGACGACCCTGCAACATTCGACTTAATCTTCACACAGAGCGAAATGGACACTGAGAACATTTAACGTGAAATGCCATTGGGACAAGTGACTGTTGTGTACTAATCTTTGATTATGTAATTGTTATGAAAGCCGTGACAAGTGGAAGAGAAGAGGGGAGGGTAAAACTAGCTCTCCATAAAGTCAAATACCAGGTCAGAAAATTTTTAGAGAAAATACCTTGGGGGAAATAAAATTAAGAGACAAAACAGCACAATGCAAGAAGGACTACATCAAAGAACTAGCCAAAGCAAAGAAGCTGGAATAAGATTTATACCGCCCCTAAGGGATAAACTAACCATGATAAAAATATGCCCATTGTTTAATAGACAATGTTTCAAAGGTAAAAAAAGAGAGCTACAATAGAGCAAGGAAAAAATACAGGGAGCACACAACAGAGGAGAAACACGACATATATAAATAGGAAAGAGGAATGAATAGAGCAACAATTTTAAGAGCAGCAGAGAGAAGGAGAGAGGAGAGTTGACTACAAAACCATTACACAATGAGTGAAATGTAGATTCCATAATATAAAACAGAATAACAAATTGTGAGTTAACACTAAACCAAATCTGACCATAGAGGCCAAAAAACTAACAGAGTCCCATCAGATACACATTAATTACTGGCTGCAGCCGCCGGAAATCAGGCCAAGTTGGTATGTAGTCCAATGTACACAACATAAGTGAACTCAGCCTTAGACTTCTGCATGGACGCAATATCTAAAGTAACCCCCTTTCAAAATTCTAAATATTCAGCTATATGCTAATTGACTTTTTCTAGACTCAAGTTGTTCGTATACTGTAACTGAATAGAGAGGTTATTCTCGATATAATTACTAAGCCGGTATTAATATACAGCTCATAGAAGGTATATGAGGATATGATTGAAGCTGAGATAAAGGGACAGAGTGAAGGAATTGTGTCCAAACACTAGGGCTATAGGGAATCGAACGCCGACCTGCAAGAAGCTAGGCCGACGCAGTACCATGCAGTCCAAGTAGATAGGTCATGGTAAAAAAAATAGGTTTTAGAAGAGCAAATATATAATAATAATAATAATAATAATAATAATAATAATAATACAAAAGACTTGGATTAGTACTGACCTTTTACACTGAGAGTGATCGCGTAGAGGAGAAAACTGACTCTCCGGAGAGAGGTCACGCGGGGCATCTCGCTATTCCTTCCACTTGGAGGAGGTCACAATGTTTGGCACTGTGGCACTGGAGCTGGGACCCAGGGTTCGGGTTCTTGAGGTGGGTCACGGGGTTGGGCGCTGAATGTGGGTCAGAGTGCATTCAATCGGAAGTGAGTTACACGCCATGGATTGGAGTGTAATCACTCGCTTCTGGTACGAGGTGGATTACAGGATCTGGCAGTCTGGCTGCGTTATCCACCTCCAACGAAGCCTTCATAGACTTGAGCCCTCATGTAGCTAGCTAAAATATGCCTAGCTTTCCTGCTTCCCTAATCTATTTACATCTTTTAGAGAGTAAAAAATTAGCTTAAATCTGTTGTCATTTATTTTCAGTAATACTTGTCATTTTGTTGAGTAAACTATTACACTGCATATCTGTTCATTTTATTTTATAAATTTATTATAACACTTTTTCATTTTTAATTCACACTGCTGAAATATATCGTTCTTCAATTGTTCAAATCAGTAAATAGGACTTTTCCCTTAAATATTTATTTTGTCCCTTCGTTTATTTAAATTTTAGATAAATGATCATTTGTTAACACTTTCTAACAGTTTTACAGATATTCTAATACCAATGCAGTATTTTTTTCCCCATTTTCTGAAAATATAATAAAAACACATCAATGTATATATGTAATACATATAATACATATAATATATATGTATATATAATACATATAATATATAAGTAATACATGGAAGGAATGTAAGCAAAGACAAGTATACCTTATCCAAGTGAACAAAAAGGTAAAATACGCTGCAATAAGAAATTGTGGAAGTCACCTCTATCCTCAACTTTAAGTTGAGGATTCAAGTCATAATAATTAAATTGCATCGCAACATTGCATCACAACAGAGGGGGGGCTAAAGAGCTAGAGCTCCCTCCTCCGTAGTCACTGATAGGTAAGTCACTGATAGGTAAGCACATTGCCAGCAATCTTGCCATCCTCTTATTTGCCATTTAATTTCGGTCGAGAATTCGCATTTCCGGCCTCTCGGGACGCCCTGTATTTGGCACCTCACTTGCCATTTTTTTACAAGCCATTTCCCCCACTTGGAATTTTTCTTTCTGCTGCACCGACCGCCTGATAGTTCCGCTCTTTGAGGTCTCTCTCTCTCTCTCTTCCTTGGCGCTCTGCCTGGCCACTGCTCCTTCACATCCTCTCTGTGGAACTGCACCTTTACATACTCTGAGTGATACTTCATGCAGGTTGGCGTTCAATTCCCGACCGTCCAAGTGGTTGGGCACCACTTCCCCCCAACCTACCCCCATCGTATCTTAAATCCTTATTCTGAACCCTTCCAAGTTCTATATAGTCGTAATGGCTTGGTGTTTTCCAGTGATATGGCCGTCCCCTGCATGTGAGTGATACTGCTTCATATCCTCTACATTACACCCTTGTTCATATTTTCTATATTGCCGGTATTTCACTATATATATATATATATATATATATATATATATATATATATATATATATATATATATATATATATATATATATATATATATATATATATATATATATATATATATATATATATATATATATATATATATATATATATATATATATATATATATATATATATATATATATATATATATATATATATATATATATATATATATATATATATATATATATATATATATATATATATATATTATTAAATATGACCGAAAAAGTAAGATTAATAATTCTAACACTAATTTTCTCGATCTTTCTTACGTTTCTTTTCACTGTTGATGGTAATTCAAAAATCAATTCTCCAAAATTCATTTTTTTTTCTAGTCTGACGCGACACTTGAGCGCGTTTCGTAAAACTTATTACATTTTCAAAGACTTTAGTTTACACACACACACACAACTTTAACTGAATAGAGCTTAAACATCTTCGAGTTTTTTATACCTACATTTGGGTGAGGTGACATGTTACAATAGTTTTGGATGAGGTGAAAATAAACTTTTTACACAAGACAGAACACGAAACAATGGGTATTAAAGGTAGGTAACTGCAGAAGGCCTATTTTTATTGGCCCATATTTCTTGATGCTTCTATATTGGAGCGGAGTCTTGAAGTGGGTAGAATATAGTTGTGCATTAATTGGCTGTTGATTGCTGGTGTTGACTTCTTGATGTGTAGTGCCTCGCAGACGTCAAGCCGCCTGCTATCGCTGTATCTATCGATGATTTCTGTGTTGTTTGCTAAGATTTCTCTGGTGATTGTTTAGTTGTGGGAAGAGGCTATATGTTCCTTAATGGAGCCCTGTTGCTTATGCATCGATAAACGCCTGGAAAGAGATTTTGTTGTCTTGCCTATATACTGAGTTTTTTGAGGCTTACAATCCCCAAGAGCGCATTTGAAGGCATAGACGACGTTGGTCTCTTTTAAAGCGTTCTGCATTAAAAGAGCAGTATATATGTATATATACTTGTATATATATATACAAGCGTATATATGTATATATATATATATATATATATATATATATATATATATATATATATATATATATATATATATATATATATATATATATATATACCTAAAGATCCAGCCACTCTCTACACGTCTCACTCTCATTTCTAGTTGGTCGAGAGTGAGTACTGTAAACTGTGTATAGTATAAACGTAAACTGTATATACGACTGTAAAAAAAATAGTGCGAGAGTTCCACCCTTGTTTGGGTTCTCACCTAGATTGATACCGACTTAGATAACTAGGTGATTAGGTTTACTAGTCGTAGTAAAACGACTAGTTCTATTCTCGCTTGCAAAGAACGAACTCGGATTCTTAGGCCTGACTTCCGACGTATTTCATGGGTTTTCATCCATATCTCTAAGAGATAGATGTCTGTCTGTCTATCTGTGATTGAAGGCCAGAAGGTCGCGGCTAGCCACACTCGCAACTTTCCATGGTGAATGGTGAGTGAATGGGAAGTGTAGCAGGCTGGTTGTTCGGGGGGTTCGACTCCCATGATCGTCTATAAATAGAATTGACTCCTATTGCAACAAACAGCGAATCGTGTGAAGCCTGAAATGTGAGTTCGAGTTTCCCACCAAGGTTTTCCAATTAATTTATCCGCTGTTAGCAGCGTTGAATTAACGTCGAAAACATTGATTCAGCGTCGATGACGTTCATTCTGTGTTTATAACGTTGATTCTGCGTCAATAACAATGATTCGGCGTCGATAACGTTCCTTCAACGAGGATAATGTTGATTCAGTATAACTGGAACATAGTTTGCTCATTGGGAGAGAGAACATGAAGGATTAAATAAATGGAAAGTGAGAAAGCAAAAGAGGGAGGGAGGAATGGCATTGTGAGAGCCTGTGAGGTACAAAATGAGGTAAAATGGGAGGGGAGGGAGGAAGGGAAGGATGGAGAACTGAAGGGAAGGAGAAGGAGAAGGAGAGAGGAGGGTAGAATGGGATGAAGGGAGAATGGAAGAATAGAAGAGAGGGAGAGAGAGAGAAAGAGAGAGAGAGTATGAAGCTACCTACCTACCTTTCCATGTGGAGGTTCCGAGAATCAACTTCCCCGTGGCCCGGTCTCTGAACAGCTCTCCTGGTTCGTGGTTAGGCCAACCAGGCAGTTGGATGCGACTGTTCGCAGCCTGACGTATCATAGCTTGGTTGAAAAGCTCTCTTTTGGAGGTGTTTATCAAGTTCTCTTTTGAACACTGTGAGGGGGCAGCCAGTTATGCCTCTTATGTATAGCGGGAGAGTGTTGAACAGTCTTGGGCCTTTGATGTTGATATAGCGTATCTCTTTCTGCGTATCTATTGCATCTCTGCTTTTCAATAGGACTAGTTTGAATATCCAGCGATGTCTACTGAATTCCTGTGATGTTATTTTCGTGGGCAGATTCTGAGCAAGTCCCTCTCATATTTTCCAGGTCTAAATTATTGTGTATCTCTCTCTCCTCTGCTCTAGAAAATATAGATTTAGAATTTTTAAGCTATTTCAGTAATTTAGAGTGGATTTATAGCATTTAGAGTGGATTTATAGCATTTAGAGTGGATTTATAGCATTTAGAGTGGATTTATTGGAGCTGTGAGTGTGCTACAGTACTTCATTCTAGAGAATACTAGGTCTTGAAAAGTATCATCATTTGTATGACACCTTGTTTGAAATATTATTTTTTTATCTAACCGTTTTTGGTTGGGTAAAAATTTTGGTTTGGTCATTTTTCTCGCAGTTGTGACAGCTACTTAATTGAGTTCTTTAATGATAAGGTCTTCCGACATGATTATTCCCAGATCCTTTGCAATGCTTTTTTCGTTCTATAGTGTGATTAATCTGCGTTTTATATAGGGTGTCCGTTTTTCTATATTTTTGTTTTCCAATAGTGCAGGAGCTGGAACTTATCTATGTAAAACATCACATTATTATCTGTGGCCCCAATGAAAGACTTCACGAATATTAGAGTTGAGGTTTGCTGTGTTCTCTATGTTTTTTCTATGTTGTTAACTCGCTTGAAGGTGAATGGGAGACGGACAGACACAGACTCGGACACCTGCTTGCTACCCCATCTGTTTGTCAAAAGATTAGATATCGACGCTTCGGGCTAGCCTCACACAGCTTTGCATGGTGTCTGGGGCCCCTTATGGAAAATCTCAGAAAGGGGTTTGAGGTCTGACACTATACCAGCCAACCTTGATGAGAAACCTACCTTCTCACCCACACCCCTTCCTCATGAAGTCGCTGTAAATGAAATGTGCAACCAAATGTCCGCAGACTTTATTTAAATATCAGGGCATTCTGATTTTGACTTACAAAACAAAGGTTCTGATAACAGATTTGTATTCTCGATACAATGGTGTATGAAGGGTGTAGGGGGGGAAGGGTGTATGTTGGGATACAACTATGAGGGAAATGGGAAAGGTGAGGGGGAGCAAGACATGCAAGGGTGTGTGAGTGAGACCTTGACCAAAGGTCGACCTGGGCACCGCCGGGTAGTCCATCCAGTATTTTTTCATTACTTACCTTTAACGATTTCATCGCTTAACCCATTAGGCTAACTAGCGGCTCTAGCACTATTAAAGTTCTTTATAACATATCTGGAACTCCTTGCACAAAAAAATGCTGCTTGCCATAACATATCAATTCCATTTATAATCGTAAACGCCGTTATCATGTCCCTTTCAACCCTTCTTTCCTTCAGTGTGGTGAAGTATAATACCCTCAGTGTTTGCCCTTCAGTTCAGCAACAAACCTGGTCTAATTACTTTAAAACTTTTATAATTTTACCGTGTCATTTTCATGCAAGGCTTCATGCCTGGGCTGCATATCAGAAGACTGGGTCTCACATAGCATGCGCTGGGGCCTGAAAGTCTCATTCAGGAAGTGAATAGGACCCGGAAGGATCTTTTGTGCATGTTTCTGAAGCACTCACATTATTCTGCCAATGAGTGCTTCTGGCATTAAATTCGGGTTAATGTGAACTCAGAGGGCTATCTATCTCTTGTTGTAGAGATCATCTCACTTCTGTTACAGTCTTCATAACTTTGGATTTGGTTGTGTTAAACTCTAGCAGACACTTTTCAAGCCCCTTCTGAGGAGTCAAGAATATCAGTCTCTGTCCTTATTCTT